ATTAACAATTCCCCAGAATATGGAAATAACCATTGTTTACAGAGCTGAGCATTGGTGACAGGGTCTGACAGGGTCAGTCTAAAAAAATACGGTGGCAATATTAGGTAACTTTTTTTCCTATGAAGTTTTTTGTAGGTCCTTATTGTAACTAATTTAGAATGCATTTCTATGTTGTATATTAAAGTTACATTATGTGTAACAGATTGTTTTTCTCAGCACAAAATAAAAATCTCCTGTATTAATGTAAAGATAATTGAAAATAAAACCTTCAAGGTTTACCAGTATTGTGGATAATGGCTTATTCTTTTTTATTCCTTCCAGGTAATTTGAACATGTTGACTTCAGATCATTTCTACTTTTAATGTTGGAAGAAATTGTCTAATTGTGCTTTTTTCACATCTATATACACTTGGATCCCAAGTTATTACCCTGTTAGAGTTATGAGCAGATCCAGGCTTCTTCCTAGACCAGGATGGTCAGGATTTGCTTTGACAATACCACAAACATCAGGCATTTCAGTGGCCAGATAACAATACATACAGTGGTTTCTTTAAGCCACATCTGCACAGCAACCCAGAAATTGCCCAAATAGGGCTCTGAGGCAAGAAGCAGAAAATGCCTACATTCTGGATGCAGAGACGGCAGCCTGTCAGGGAAGGTTGATGGCTGTCATTTCCAAACCAACCTTAATAATATGAAGGAGACTGGGAGAGCATCTTGTCATTCCCCTGAAAAATCACACTCACCATTCATAACTGAATGGGGCAATAAAAACGCAAGATAGCTTATTTCCCAGTGCTTTTCCAAAGTCCCAGTAATGAAACAGGCAGGCAAGTTTGTCACTAAACTTCAGTATTTCACTAATCTAAATAAAAGTGAATAGGAAAGCATGGATAAGAGAAAACTGTCTTATTCTTACCAATACAGTCATATTTCTCCTTGAAAACCCATTAGGCACAAATTATTTACTAATGTAGGAAAATTTACTAAGAACCCAACTATCTGCCAGGGCCTGTGCCAGGTGCCACGGAGAGAGAATATATTAGTTTCCCATGGCTAACAACTTACCACAAAGTGGGTAACTTAAAACAGCAGATACTTATTCTCTCACAGTTCTGGAGGTCAGAAGTCAGATATCAAAATGTTGGCAGGGCTGCGCCCCCACAAGCTCTATGGGAATCCATTCCTTGCCTCTTCTAGCCTCCAGAGGTCGTCTCTCCCTTTGTCTGTGGCCAGTACTCGAGTCTCTGCCTCCATCTTCTCATCGCCTTCTCCTGTGTGTCTGTCTGCTCTCTGTGTGTCTTCCAAAGACACTACTTCTCACTGGGTTTAGGGCCCACTGAGAAAATCCAGGAGGATCTCATCTCAAGATCCTTAATTACATCTGCAAAGGCCCCTTTTCCAAATAAGGTAACATTTTCAGTTCCCAGGATGTAGGCCTATATTTCGGGAAGCCACTCTTCACCCATAACAGAGAGAAAAATGAATAAAATATAGATGCTGCTTTTAAGAAGCCGAAAGACTGGAAACTCTCCTACTAAGGGAAATGTGACCAAGAGAGGGAGAAGAAGGAAGAGAATCAAGGATCTGAGAGACTCACAGGATGAATAACCCGGGGCTGGTTAATCAAGACGTACTGATTCTATTTTTAAAATCTCCAGAAATACAATGAACAGGTGCACAAAAGCCAACAGGACTGGCCTTGAAGGAAATAAAGTGAGGAATCAGATGTTCTCTTCTTCCTTCTAGAGGCATTTAAATCAGCAACCTAATCGACCCATCCAAACCTCACCAGATGCTCAAGACAACAGTGCAAATAACCCTCAAATAACCTGGATGTGGGGGTGTGGGCGGGGCAGTTTCAGCAGAGCTAGATGGCAAAAAGGCCTTCCCCTGTGACTGAAACTGGAAGGATGCTAGGTAAGTGCGCTCAGAATAAGCATCTGCTCAAGATAAAGGCTGAGGTCAGGTGGAGAGGAGAGAAAATACTCAGCCCATTGATGGAATGTGACAGTCTGAGGAAGGCAATATCACATGGGTGGTTCAGAAACTCAGCCGATGCCTAAAACAGTCAAATTGATCATGGATCTTTTTAAACAAGACAATTGGGCTGTGGGAGAATCTTGAGAAAACTGTTTTCAAGAGCTGGCTTTCAATTTACGGTTGCTACATTTCCCGCCCTGCCTGTATGCAGGAGGTGCGCAAGCTGACCACTCTTATGTTCTGCTCTGCTGCAAGCCTTGTTTCGTATTCATAAGTGCATCACCTAACATGGGATCCCTAGAAATAATTTTTTTTTAAAGTAAAAATACCTACTCAATACACAGATATCGAAAATAAAAGCTATTAAATCTTTTTTACATAAGCAGTCTCAAACAAATAGGTTTTGGATTGATTTTTGTTGTTTTTGTTTTTACTCTAGTAATAACATTTCATCCAGAATATAAAACTGGTTGAGCTGATCCATCTGTGCAAAAACATCTTGAATTTAGAGAACTCCAGCAGACTGATACATCCCACTCATAAAAAAATATCAGGACCTAACGATATGGTTGATTATCATTCATTTTCAGAGTGTTTACAGTTTCTGAAATTCTCTGTGTCCTCTCTAGTTTAAATATTAATAGATTCTCTGGCTCACTCAGGTTTATAATGGTAAAATAAAAAAGTCCCATTTTCACGATATGAGGCAAGCTGGTTTGCAGACCACATAGAGAGCAGAGTAAGAGAGTGGCTGAGGAAGGAGTGAATTCAGCAGGCGTACATCTACAGTTCTCAGCCCCACACTTCCTCTCCTCTAGCCCCCTGTTTTACTCATCCACCATCATAGCTCCAGGCCCCCCTTCAGCAAGGAGCTGTGGGCATGAAGAAGCCAAGAAAAGTGAGGTGCCAGGAAGATGGGTCATTGGTGCAGCTTATAACTGTTACAGCTCTAATAACAAAGGCCCAAAGCCAAGCAATAATCACTCTTGTTCTGCAACAGAAAGTTTCGATTTGCATAATTCCCACTAGCTTAACTCATTTCTTTAACCCAACCAATGGTGATCTGAAGCCCACCATCTGACATAAAGGAAATATTACCCCTCTCCAAACCAAGTTTACCAATATCCACAAGCTATTTTAGACAGAGCTCTTCTTCCACAAGTCATTAATGAGGAAAATTCCAGCAAACTGAAAGCCTTACTGGGACATTTTGTTCAAGGAAAGTGGAGGTCTGTTTCTTGAACCACCAATCATTAAAGGAATCCTAAATGTCATTTGCAGTTCACTAAGTCTTAAAATAGGGTTTGGTAAATGTGTGTGGATTGAGTTGTGCACTGCCTGAATACATGCAAATGGACCAGAGGACCCTCTTCAGTTGCCGGGACTTGAGGATATATGCTAAAGCTACTTTCAGTCATCAGTATCTCCTACTTCCATATCATTACTTTAAATGGATCTGTATATAAAACTGAGTATTATCTCCAAATTCAGTTACTTTAGCAATAAATGTTATAGAAACCTCAATGTAAAAAGGCTGTTAAATCAATCTTCCTAGTTTACTTTGAACCAATTTACTTGCTTTAGATTTATCACTTCCTAATCAATATCCATAACTGAGTCCCAGAACTACAAGAGGAACTCAGAAAGTATCTGGCTTTGTTTTGGGTTAGTAATTAAGTCATAAAGGGAGAATAATGAGTTATTTTCTTCTTGAGGATCTTTAAAGATCTGAGAAACTTTTAAGCTGGTAAGTTCCTAATGGGCAAAGAATCTGTGTGCAGATTCTTGTGAATAGTTTTGCTTGTGGGTCGCAGTGATTGAAGCCACTGGTCAGCAACCATAGCTCTCTAGTCAAATCCTAACTTAGCAGCTGTTTTTATAAGGCCTGTGAGCTAAGAATACATCTACATTTTTAAATAACTGGGGAAAAAATCAAAAGAATAATATTTCATGACAAGGGAAATTTAAATGAAACTCAAATTTCAGTGTACATAGATTTACTGGAATGTAGTCATACCCATTTGCTTACTTAATGTCTGTGGCTGCTTTCATGATACAACAGCAGAGTTGAGAAGTTGCCACAGAGACCACATGTCCTGCAAAGCTGAAAATATTTACTATCTGTCCCTTTACAGAAAAAGTTTGCTGGCATCTCATCTAGTCAATTGCATTAATAATACTATCAGTTAATGTCAACTGTAATAGTACTATCAATTATAATAGTAGTATCAGTTAATTTTTGTCCCCATCTTAAAGTTTTACTTCCTTCATGTATGGTCCTGAAATGAACTCATCTGAAGATGTGAAACTGAAAGAAATAAAATCCAGCAAGAGTATGATCTCTGGCCAGTTACTAGGAAGGTGAACTCCATTTTAGTGTCCAAAGAATGGGTCAGGTGTAGGGATTTTTTTTTTAAGTTTATTACCCTTGGGACCTTCTTTTTAAGTCAAACTTAATTTAAGGGTTGGACCTGTAAACCTGAGATAATATTCATGGTTACTATAAAATAGACGTGGGGATTTTTTTTAAGGAGAGCATGGCAGAGGCTTTTATTTAGAGAGAAAGCGAGAGGACAGAGCTCCTGGCTCAGGCCAAGAGGGACAAGAGAGCCCTCAGACGTGGGGATATTTTAAGTCCTCTGAAGAAGATATACTCCTATCTTTTGTGTAAAAAGATAAATGTGTGAAATTCACTAACTTTAAATTTGTCAATAAGTCATCTTCCCATCCCAAATCCTGGGAAATTTACTTTCACAAGGAAGAGAGATATGATCTGTACATTAGCCTCCCATTAGGAATGACCATTGACCATAGGAAATAGCTCTACTGACAGATGTCAAATGACAGCTGACCAGATTGGTCTTGAACCACAGTCAATCATGACCCATTGCCTGGGAACCTGGAGCCCCCAGTTGGCAAATTACTGCAGCCAAGCAATTCTTCCACATAACCGTTTAAACCACTGTTTCCCTTGGAAAGAAAATAATGACAAAAGTCTATTCAAAAATACTATGAAATGTTTTTAATCCTGGAAAGGACTTGACTACTAGTAACCAAAGAGGAGAATAGTCAATATGAACCAAATTCAAACTTTTAAATCCAGTGGACACATACACTAAATTGCTCAACATTGTTAAATGGCATGACTTAATTTATCCATAGAAGTCATTATTTCATCCAGTGGAAAACTGATTCAAATATGTTTTGACAGAGTGCTAGGAGATATTATAGGTGACAGTTGACTTAATGAAGTATTTAAGGCTTAAAAACTGTGCCTTTTAGAAAAACAACTTGTTGTACTACTCAGGGAGGCAAAGGAACAATAAATAGCAATTAAAAGTCATAGAAACATGATCAATTTGTGCATGCCTTCCAATATTCCACTGAGCTGTGCAAAGAGGCAAGACAAACTAAAATAAGTTTTATAGCCAGGATTGGTCTGAATATTTTCCTTCTAATATTTTTTCTGTCACACTTCTTCAGTGCTTAGAGTAAAATGACCAACCCCTGGGATCTAAAGGAAATAGGTAGCTCCTTTCCAAAGATGGGACTGAGCTGACAAAATCTGTTTAATATCTAAGATTAGAAATGAAATAAATAAGTTCTTCAGTTACCAACTGTATTTTCAGAGCTCATTAAAATATCAGACATTTTTGATACGTCAGAGGTTTTAGTCCAGTGACAGGAGGAGAAGGATGCTACCTGGGAGCAAATCCCAATCACCTCTACAGCTTGTGACATACATGTCGAGTGCGGCTGAAGATGAAGGGAGAGGTCACAGGTGACTCTGTGGAGACATTCTGACTCGCCCAGTCTGTACAACTTTGCCAGGGTTCCTCTGAAAGGGTGCGTTTCAAATGTACTTTCATTCTTCTGTTTACATTTTTATCAAGATGGGGAAAGGCTACTCAGCATGGTTACCAGGATAACATGGGCAAAGCCAGAATAATTTCCCCTTTCTAATAAGATTTAAGAAATTAAACATCAAAAAGGTTTATCCTAAATGACACCCTCCCTGAACTTCACAGCAAACAATAAAACAATGATAACCTCATCTATATGCGTAAATCCAACAGCAGAGATGTACACAAAACAGTCATTCAACAACAAAGTGATCCAGTGTTTTACCCACCAGTCAAACAGATGCAATTATTTATTTTTCTCCCATTTTCCACAAAAATAAAGACATCACCTGCTGAATCAAAAGTTACAAGTTTTACCTCATTTAAAGACTTGAGGCAAAATATTCAACAAACCCTGCCCATATACCCTGCCTCTCTCAGCCAGTCACCAGTCTTATTTAAAAATCTGTATTAAGATCTGTAAAGATTACTGTTTATTAGAAGCAAACCAGAGCACCTTAGATCATCAATGGCCAGGAAACTCCCCTCTTCCCCAGATATAAAACAATTAAGGTTTACACAACATTGGTTAAATCCAACTTCATTCAAATTTCTTTCAACAAGTAATATGCAAGTCATGCTAATACTGGTAACCTGCCCATCATTGGAAATAACATAATTATCTGGATCACCTTTGAATAAGAACAACAATTATTTCATAACTGCTTGTGGTACAAACCACATTCTTATTATGAATACAATTTATATGCAATTTTCTAAAATTGAATTCCTGCCTTATTGACTTGAAATGAAAAACTTCCACGGAAGTCATAAACCTCAATGTCTTAGCAGGAAAAAAACAAAAACAACAGATAACCTCTGATGCTTGACATAGGGCAAGTGTCCCCTGCCATTATCTGGAGAACATGAAATTACCCCAATACCTCTGTATTAGTTGCCTGTACTTATACATAAGCCATCCCACCTTCTCCATGGTTTTGCAAGTGATTTGAAAAAGAAGATTTTACACTCATTTTTAATTCCACTTTGAGCATTACGTAAACTGTTTTAACTTACTTGACTTCTATGACTGTGTCAGCTTATTTGTATTAATGGAAAGCCAATGCTTCTCTTTGCCTTTTTTTTTTAATGATTCATTCAACAATTTCAGTCAAGCCCTTCTTACCAGTTCTAAAAAGGATGGAATTTCAAAGGCAAATAGTAGTTTAGATAACCCAAGCACATGCTGACTCTCCTAAAAAAGTATTGCTTACTTAGGCTTCTGAAGTCAAGAAAGATACCCTATGGAAAAATGAAAAATTTATTTTCTTTCTTTGTTCACCATTTTTAATAGAAAAGATGTTTTCAGGTTTTTCAGGAAAATAAATAATGGGAAAAATAACTATACCTTAAAAAATTTCCCCCAAATATAAACAAAGAAAAGACATAAATGGGATCACAATGCGTATGCTCACATCTGCCCTCCAGAGCACACTTGTTATGTAGAAGTTACAAAGAATAAAAGTTACCCATTAATTGTATGGCATGCATCAACAGTGCACTGGTGGGCTCAACCTGGGTTTTTTTCAGTTATATACAGATAAAATCTCTTCCTGAGTTGAACTTCATCTTCAGTTGAGACCCAAACCATTTGCTTTCCTGTTTTTGGCAAGATATCAGACCATGTGGTAAGGCAATCAAACATTTCAACCCCCATCCCTTTTCAACAGGCATGGCCCTCCTCAGTGAGACCACCAATGTACCAGGTACAAGGACAAGATCTAAACTATTGCCCTGTAAAACTAGAAAGCAGATTTCCTTGTTCATTAGTCTGAAGGCTACAGCGTTTTCTTTTCATATATTTGGAGATCTTGAGGATTTCAGCTGAACAGATTCAAAATGGTCTTCTTTTTCCTATAAAGAAAGAAACATTAAAACAAAATCAACTCACTAAAATTCCAATACAATTTAAGGATCTTATGTGTCCAGAAGGAAAGTTCTGGAAATCATTTTAATCTATGTACCTGCCACTGGTAGTTAGGAATTTACTTTTAAAAGAGGTGGCAGATATAAAACAGAGAGCATGCCTTCCCTGAAGGATGTATTTGATGCCCAGGAGATAAGACAGACAACCCAAAATGGAAGCAAACACGATTGCTATAGATACCAAAAGATGCAGCTGTGATTCTTGGGAGGAAATCACTGACACCCTTCTAAGGGGACATCTGACCTGGGTGCTGAAATAGACCTTGCCATATGAATTGTGGACAAAATAGAACTGACAGAAACTTAAGTATTCTCAAGATAACACAGGCTAAATAATAAGAAAAAGGAAAGCAGAAATAAATAAAGAGAACACCAGTAAGACCTAAGACCACTTTGGTTCATTGATATGTTTTAGGTAAACCATTTGGGTACATGCCTATTTAAGATATTAAAAACAAGTCATCTTAGATAACAAATCAAAATTTTAACTCAAATATATTGTTGCTGGTCTTTGTCATATAATACATTCAAAATGCAGCCTATCAAAATAAATTCTTTAATGGGGAAAAAGAGAAGTGAGTGATTCCTCCCAATGTTTTTTCATCGTTAAAGTTAGAAAAAGCTTTCTGAAAGCTGCTGGAACAGGGTGCAAGGACCATGCTCATGAAGAGAATAAAGATGAAGAGAACTAGGATTATTTTTAAAATAAAGGAAATACAATGCAGACCAGTCCTAGGTGTAAATGGATGTGTGTCCAGAGATGTAAAAGGAAAAAATAATAGCAAGTAGACATGGAGCTTCTGTCAGGGATAGTAAGATTGCTTTTGTGTTTTCTCTCATTTGGGTGAAGAAGTCCAAGACTTCAAACAAGCTTTAGGGCTTCAGGGACAGGATTACAAGGGGAAAATCACCACACCAACATCATGTTCCCTGCCTTTGCTGGGATGACAAGGCCCTGGGAGAGCAGCCTGCAGATCTCTGTGCTGTAACTCACCGGCTCTGTACAAGCTTGCCTGAAATCTCATGCTTGCCAGTCTTTTTTTTTTTTTTGAATAACCATTGATACTTCAAATATTTATTAAGCACTACTGTGTTGCAGGAACATGACTTGACTTTAGGGATACAAAGTGTCCGCCCTCAAGGAGCTCACAGTGTATTACAGGAAGGAGCTTTACGGTATCAGCCATGAAACAGAAAGGAAATCTGAGGTTTTTGTGACCTTTCCTTTGATTCAACACATTCCTGGAGGGAGGGGAGGTAGAGACCTGTTGGTTATTAGCAAGGTCAATATTTAAAGTAAAGCACTGAAAACCTTTATGAAGTCTGTTAGCTTCACAGGGCTTTAGCTGCCATGCCTTCTTTTTCCATAGGATTTCGATTTTAGTCTTATCGTTGATATGATGGAATATATATGTATGTAGTTGTGTGTGTGTGTGTGTGTGTGTGTGTGTGTGTGTGTGTGTGTGTGTGTATGTGTGTGTGTAGTTAGCACCACTAAGTGATTGAGACTTACTGATGACAGGAGTTGTATTTTGTTCATTTTTTATTCCCAAAACATGACCCAAGGCCTAGCACATGGTAGGCTGTCAATCAATGGTTATAAAAATACACTGAAGCACCACATTGTAGAAGAGAAAACACTAGATTGGAACTCAGGAGATGTGGTTTCTAATTCTTATTTAACCCCCTCTTGGACAAATAAGTGAACCTCTCTAGGTCTCAGTTTACTCATGAATTAAGTAAACATGCCATTCCAAATGATCTTAAGCTCTAAATTTTCTGCTCAAAAGCCAACTTCTCCTAGAAGCTTCTCTTTCCCTTGTCACTACCCACTTTACTGCACTGCCTTCTCTGTGCTCTAAGAAACCCTACTCAGTGTTCTTGTCACCCTGGTGATTGTAGGTGTGTATATAGGACATGCCTGTGTCCTCCGCCACTAAAAAAGATCACTCCCAGGATAATAAATTGCCTAGCTGACATATCACCAAAACCTGACAAAGTGTATAACACACAGGGTCCCATAAATGACTATGGCATGAATAAATTGAAAAAAATGAAAAAGTTCAACTGAAGATTTTGTTAACCATTAAGAAAAGTAAATCTATAAATAAAACCCAACCAGTCCATTGCCTTGGTATAGAAATACCAACTAAGGTATGGCTCTTAAAACATGAATAAGGATACAAAAGATAAAGTGAACCTTACATGACAACAGCAGGTAAGAAACTTATAAACATTTTTGCCCCATGAAACCATACATAATAAATTGTTTTAAGTGGGACACATGATATAACTTGTACAATGATACAGCAGCTTTATTCATAACTAAACACTGGAAATAGCACAAGTATCCATCAACAGGAAAACAGATAAACAAAATTTTGACATTTCCACACAATACAAAACTCCTGAATC